ACACACACACACCACACACACACAGACACACACACACACCATAAACACACACACACACCACACACACAGACACACCACACACACACACACCACACACACACACACATACACAGACACACACACACCACACACACAGACACACACACACACCATAAACACACACACACCACACACACACCACACACACCATACACACACACACCATGCACACAGACACACAGACACACAGACACACACACATACCATAAACACACACACCACACACACCATACACACGCACACCACACGCACACACACACACATACACACACACCACACGCACACACACACACAGACACACGCACACGCACACACCACACACACCACACACACACACACACACGCGTTTGTCTGAACACCCATCCTTTTTTATTTTCTTATCCTGCCTTGATCAAAAAATGACTGAGACAACTTAGAGGATATAAACAACACTATAGAGGGAAAGAAATGCAGATGAGAAATAGAGAAGAGAAGAGGAACTTTAGCAGTAAGGAGAGGATCAGAGGCTCGAGGTCACTCCAGAGGAGGTGCCAGCATTCCCCGTGTTGCCCCAACACAAGCCAAGCTCCAGTAGGACCAGCTTCGGGGCCTCATTCCTGGCTGCTGCATGAAACACAGAAAAAAGGGTGCCCAAGAACTGGCATAAGCCTGCCTTATCACTATACAAGTACGCTCGGTCTCCCTGCACTTATTAAGGAAGGGACTTGATCTTAGTTTTTCTGCTTCGTCCTGAGTCTATGCAGAGACCAATGACTTTTTGTGTGTGTCATGGTGACTGAATATAGACGAGTATAGGACAAGACAAAGTATGAAAGTTTGTGGTTTTTTTCCCTCTGGTGTATATTTAAACTGCTTTCTGCTGAAGACCCTGGGCTCTCCTGCGTTAGTCTGTGTGCTGAAATGCCACATCGACCCATGTCAACAATAATTGGAATTAAGTGCAGGAGAGTTCCTGCTGACAGGGGTCCGTACCTGCTCATAAGCCTTCCTCGAGCAAAAATGGCCTCAAATCAACTGTGCACAGGACACAGGCATTTGGTGGGAGCTCAGAGACGCAACATGTAAGCTGTGCTAAGGGTGAGAAATGCTTCCTGTGCGATCAGAAGAACTACCTCGGAGTGGAAGAGGACATTGCCCACCTTCCCAGCTATAAGAGGGTCTTACTCTATTTTCTGTGGCTATAGCTGAAAAGCTAAGGCTGAGAAATGTATGAAAAAAATAAATGCATTCCTTACAGTTCTGGAGGCTGGGAAGGGGCCACACCTGCTGAGAGTCTTCTTGCTGGAGGGGACCTCTGCAGAGCTTTGAGGCTGTGCTGGGTGTCCTGTTGCAAGAGGGCGGGAACACATCTCTCAGCTCAGGTCTCTCCTCCTCTTTTTGTCGAGCCACAGTCCTGCCACGGGAACTCCACCTGGAGGACCTCATCTAATCCTAATTACTACCCCAACTACCTTCAGCATGTGAATTTGGGGATTAAGTTTCCGACACAATTGAGGCACAGCACAGGGCATCCAGGAGGCGATGGAGGCCGAGCCATCAGGGTCCAGCAGGCTCTCCTGGCGTGGTCCAGCACTGAGCACAGGTGCCCTGCCTGCAGGAGCCTGGCCGCTCAGCACCTCGCGCTCAGCATCCGCTCTCTTTCCCGCCCTGCGTGTGCTCTGTACCCAGAGGCTGGGGAAACGCAGCCCGCAGCCCCCGGGTCCTCCTGGAAGACCTGGGAGGCTGCTCTGAGGACCCACTCACCACCTGGCATAGCCTTAGCCCGAGAACTTTCTTCTCCTAATCTCCAGAACCCTCACTGCACTCGGGCTTTATTGTTTTTGTTTTTATTGGTTATTAAAATTCATTTCTGTGTCCATGGTGAGAAAAATGTGACCCAGGCCTCCTCCTTGAGCACTCGTCAACAGAGTGTGTGCAGTAGGCCCATCGTGGACAGGGACTCTGGGAGCCAAGGGCAGGGCACAGCTCTCTCTACTGCTCTTCTTTGCCTCCGTGGTTTTCCCTTCCTACTCCTGGAGATAGTTGGTTTCTACCCTGTGCTCCCTGACTCTCTTCCACCACTTTCTCTCTTGCTTCTTTCTGACAATTAACTCGACCTCCCTGAGGCCATCCCCTGGTGAACTTGTCCCTGTCCTAGCCACCTGCAGAGCCCACCCAGGTAACACGGGGCTGGCGGGGCCCAAAGCCTGTTCTGTCAGCCATGAACGCACACGTCAGTTCAATCTAAACTTGCTGCTAGTGACATGCTCCCTAATGTGTTTATAATTTTGTTTTCTGTACTATCCATTTATTTTACCACAATTATCTTATTAAAGTCTCTTTATAAACATCACTTTTAATAGTTCCAAGGTAATTTCATAAGGAGCATTTATCATGAATTGTTTAATATGTAATTTTTTTCTGTAATAAGACCTTAGAGTTGTTCTTATTTATTTATTTATTTATTTATTTTTTCTTTTTTGTGACCAGTAAGGGGATCACAGCCCTTGGCTTGGTGTCGCCCAGCACCNACTTGTCCCTGTCCTAGCCACCTGCAGAGCCCACCCAGGTAACACGGGGCTGGCGGGGCCCGAAGCCTGTTCTGTCAGCCATGAACGCACACGTCAGTTCAATCTAAACTTGCTGCTAGTGACATGCTCACTAATGTGTTTATAATTTTGTTTTCTGTACTATCCATTTATTTTACCACAATTATCTTATTAAAGGCTCTTTATAAACATCACTTTTAATAGTTCCAAGGTAATTTCATAAGGAGCATTTATCATGAATTGTTTAATATGTAATTTTTTCTGTAATAAGACCTTAGAGTTGTTCTTATTTATTTTTGTGCATTTACAATTGTTTTGGTATTTTTAGAATAGACTTCAGGAATGAATAGGTAAAAATTTGAATTTTCTAAGAGTTTTTGAATTCTCGTTAAACTGCTTTCTAAAAGATTCATACAATTTTCAGGCACATTGCTCCTAGGGGAAAATGACTTAATAATCAGGTTAACAGACCTGAGTCACCAGCAGCCACCGTCTGCATAGACTTTATTTGTTCCTAAAGATGGTGATGGAGCTTCGGCTCTGCAGGTCTAGAAAGACTGAGATGAAGGGTTCTTGGAATGACAGTTACCCCACTTCTACCAGCTTTGGAAATCAGACGGAGGACTCGGCAGGGCGACAGTGGCCCTCAGAGGCCCTGAGCAGCGGAGCATCGGACAGCTCCGGCCACCACACACAGAACCTCAGACAGCTCTGGCCTGACGCTGCACCCGGGGGACCGACTGTGAGCTTGAAGCAGCAGAAGATGCAACTAGGAATACATTTTGGGATTCAACAAAGATCATGGGGTCTCCTCTTCAAATTTTATATTTTAGGGCATTGTGTCTATTATAAAAGTTTTTTTTTTTTTTTTTTTTTTTTTTTTTGCAGCTGGCCAGCACAGGGATGTGACCCTTGACCTTTGTTAACCATGTTTGAAGTGACTGAGCTAAGCAGCCAGCCCTAGGAGGGTATTTTTGGAATTTGAAACCCTGACTTTGACTAATATGGATGGTGTGAAAGTGGGAAATTTATTGTGAAAGTGAAGGGTAATTCGAGTGTATGGGTGACTTTGGTGCTTGGATCCTTGCTGATGGTGCAGAAGCAACAGTACATTAATTTAAACACCAGGTCACAGTAGCTGGTCATCTGACATCATGCAACCCTGATGTGGTACTCAGAGAAGGATGCATCTCCCATTTAAACCGACTCTAACAGGAGTTGGAAATCATAAAAGCCAGGTTAGGGACATTTTGCAAAACAACTGCCCTGGATACTAGAAAATGGTCCATGTTCTGCAGACACAGGAAAGCTGAGGAACTGTCCAAGAATTGGAGGTAGAAGGGACAGGGACCGGCTCACTGAGAGCAGTGTGTGATCCTCGGTCAGATTCCAGACGAGGAACACGATCTGTGGTGGGAACATTGGGTTCA